GCCAGCTATTCAGTGTGTTGTGATTGGCCGAATACCTCAAGCGTGTGAAGGAAATGTTACGCCCCTTACTGTGTTACTACACGGCATACTGTGATGCCGTGTCCCGGCCGGAGCGACGAGACAAAAACATTCAAACCCATTATAAACGAGGCATTTGTTGCATCCAGTGGGGACATAATTACAGATTATAATGACTTATACTGTCTTTTTATGTGTTGCGTTGCATCGCGCCACGTAAACATAAAACCATGTCTGCATTTGTGATCGGAGAAATGACAAACAACAAGTGCTACTCTACACTGCTCAAAACTCGCATTTGAATCATCAGTGGCAAATCCTTTAAATATGAAAACATACTTACAGTATGTGGGTCAGAACAACCGGCATTGTAGTCTACTCTACGAGGATCAGCAAACAGTCCTCCATAAAATGCGCTGCACACATCTGAAATGTCAAGAAAACTGTATGCATGTTTGGGCATATCAGGATGTAGAAGCAGATCTGTTTGTCCAAGGACAGAAGCTTGAGGTAGTACATGAATTTAAATACATAGGAATAATAATAGATTGCCGGCTTTCTTTCAAAAAAGCATGTGAAGAAAGTTGTTAACACAGTGAAATTTAATTTAGCTAATTTTTGATTTATTAGAAATACTTTGACTAAGGAAGCAGCAGTTTAGTTTAATTAATTCTATGATTCTTCCACATATTACATACTGTATGACGACCTGAACTCAAACAAGTCTATTCTTAAACCAATTTAAATTGTTTATTACAAGTTCTTAAGGTTTTAGATAAAAAGCCGAATAGTTTTCATTATTGTAATATCTTAACTAAGTACTCCCTTTTAAGTTGAGAATATCTGATCCAATTTGCTGATTTAGTACTGGTGTTCATGATTTTAAATGGCTTTGCTCCACCAGTTTCTAAATATATATATATATATATAATGACAGGAATTTAAAAAATACTACAGGTACTTGTGGTTCCCTTTCAAAAGGGAACTCACGCTGCGTCCCCTAGAAGGCGCTATGGGGAATTCCTCCGGCATGACTGGTGTCTGAAGAATAAGTCTAAACAGGACAATGAACATGACATCAGCAGTCGGCTTATGACGTCAAAACTGGTGCGGTCGAGAGTATAAAAGGGCACTTGTGAAATACGTCATCCTTTTCTTGTCTTCAGGAGACTGTTTGTACATGAGTTTGGAGCACACTGAAAGGATTTCTCAATAAAAGCTCCATTCGCGCCGTCCTTATTCTCGAGGGATGTGGGATGCTCTTTTGGGTGGAATGCTATCCAGTGGTGGACACCACTCGCATCTGCTGGACACCCCTGACATCTGATTGGCCACCCCAAAATTTAATATGCTACTATATCATTCTCTTTGTTTTTAATCGTACTGAAATAACTATTTATTTTAGCCTTTTAGAAATTGTGCCGCATCATGCTTCATCTCATTCAGTGTACCACCCGGGCTTGACTCTCTCTTGAGGGATGAGAGTTGAGTGCCTGCGCCCTGCAGTGGTTATTGTTATTTGTGTCTAATTCTGAGGAATTAGAGACAGAAAAGTGCTGTAGTTATTATTATTAAAATTATAGCTTGCACCAATGACAGATTAGATCTGTTTTGGCTGCATGAGACAGACTTTTTGGAAAACAATTTCTGTCTGTACATACTGCCTGTCCCCGTGAGCCTTCTGTTTTTCCTTTGATCTCCATGCTGAGGCAGAGAGATTGTAAGGGATTCCATATTTGGTGGGAATGTGTCAATGCTTCTTTTCTGTTTCTCAGTAGCTGAGGCCGTCCTCATTGAAGGCTCCAACCTGGCCATTTGGGTTTTTATGTTCTGCTGAATGGCAGGTTCAGTAAGGAGCTCTACTCTGATAGCATTATCAAGTCGTTAGGCTTTCTGTAAGCATCCTTGGTAAGCCATTCTGAGTATAGGACGTAGTTAGGCCTCCTCTCATCTTAGAGAGTTGTTATGCTGAGGCCTCCATCCTCAGAGCTCCATCACGCTGTGGTGCAGGGTTGTTAGGCTTTCTGAGCCTCCTTGGCCATTGCTTTTAGGTAGGGTTACCTATGAGCCCAGCTATAGGCTAGCAAGTGTGAGTTGTAGGCTCTCTGTGAGCCTCCTTGCAGGATGTCCTGAGTATGGGATGTAGTTAGGTCTCCTCTCATCTTAGAGAGTCATCATGTTGAGACTTCTGATCCTAGAGCTCGGCCAGAAAGTTTGCTAAGTTGTTAGGCCCTTTGTGAGCCTCCCTGGCTACTGCAAGTGTTGTCAGGCCTCCTCTCATGACAGAGTTATCTTTATTGAGGCCTCCGCTCACCAGAGCTCTGCTAGGACAGCATTGCTGGTTTGTAGGCTCTCTGTGAGCCTCCTTGCAAGATGTCCTGAGCATAGGGTGTAGTTAGGTCTCCTCTCTATTTAGAGAGTTGTCATGTTGAGGGCTTCGTTTCTAGAGCTTGGCTAGGTAGTGGCCTACGTTGTTAGGCTCTCTGTGAGCCTCCGTGGCTAAGCAATGCTAGGCCACCTCTCGCTGGTGAGAGTTATCTTACTGAGGCCTCCGGTCCCCGGAGCTCTGCTAGGATAGCATTGTGAGTAGTAGGCTCTCTGTGAGCCTCCTTGCATGGTATCCTGAGCATGGGATATCGTTAGTCTCCTCTTGATTTAGAGAGTCGTCATGCTGACAGTTTTGTTTCCAGAGCTCGGTTTGTGTTTAAGTTGCTAGGCTCTTTGTGAGCCTCCTTGGCCATTGTGAGCATTGTCAGGCTGCCTCTTTTTACAGAGTTATCTTTATTGAGGTCTCTGCTCCCCAGAGCCCCGTTAGGATAGTGTTTGCAAACTGTATACTTTCTGTGAGCCTCCTTGCATTGTATCCTAAGCTTGGGGTATCGTTAAGTCTCCTCTCGATTTAGAGAGTCGTTATGCTGAGGTTTTTGCTCCAAGAGCTAGGTTATTGTTGGCTGAGTTGTTAGGCTCTTTGTGAGCCTCCTTGGCTACTACTAGTGTCGTCAGGCCTTCTCTCACTATACAGAGAGCTATCTTTATTGAGGCCTCCACTCACCAGAGCTCCGCTAGGACATAATTTTGCAGGTTGTAGGCTTTCTGTGAGCCTCCTTACAAGATGTCCTGAGCGTGGGGCGTAGTTAGGCCTCCTCTCATTTTAGAGAGTCATCATGCTGAGGCCTCTGCTCCTAGAGCTGGACCATCTGCGACCATCAGTGTCGTCAGGCCTCCTCTCTCTACAGAGAGTTATCTTCATTGAGTCCTCCTTTCACCAGAGCTCCGCTAGGACAGCATCTGTGAGTTGTAGGCTCTCTGTGAGCCTCCTTACAAGATAGGCCTTAGGCCTCCTCTAGTTTTAGAGTCTCATCATGCTGAAATGCATTTCGTGCCTTCTCTAAAATCCATGTTTATGGTTAGAGCACAAGCTGACTGCTTCGCACCTTTTCTGAAATCCATGCTAATGGTAAGGGCATGTGCCAAGTGCTTTGTGACCTTTCTATCTGTGTTAGACCCCAGTTTGCTCTTAAACAGAGCAGGTTTGCCAAGTTGACTAGGCTCTCTTTGAGCCTCCTTGGATACTGCGAGCATTGTTAGGCCTCCTCTGGTTGAGGCCTCCACTCCCCAGAGCTCCGCTCAAAGAGTAATGGTGAGTAGTAGGCTCCTTGTGAGCCTCCTTACAAGATATCCTGAGCATGGGGCGTTGTTAGCTCTTCTCTCAATTTTGTTAGCTCTTCTCTCCGTTCTAGAGAAGCTCCGGTCTATGATTGCGTTGCTGGTGCAGGGGTGAGTCCTTTGAGTCTTGGACTTAGCTCAGCCAATAAGGCATTCATCCCTTCAGCATGGCGACATGGGTATACCGTTCCCCATAGCGTCCTCTAGGGGATGCTGTGCGAGTTCCCTTTTGAAAGGGAACGTCTCAGGTTACACATGTAACCATGGTTCCCTGAGAATAGGGAACGAGACGCTGCGTCCCTTTGCCATGCTTCAGGCATTCCTGCGTACATCTCCTTCAGACAAGAAGTGGATGATGTATTTCACAGGTGCCCTTTTATACTCTCGGCCGCACCAGTTGTGAAAGTATCAGTTTCAAAGTATTTTTTATTAGTATTTTTATTATATTATATTTATTTTATTTTTTATTTTTTGCAAGCAGCTAGATGGAGAACTTATTTATTTATTTTTGTATTGTAAAAGGTGAAATTAATTATTGTCTCTTTAAATTTCACCTTCACTATTACAGGTGCAGTGGTTGGAGGATGGGTCACCTGAAAGCGATGCAGAGAGAGTAAGGGTCACGGAAAGCTCAGTCAAAATCACGGGTCTGAAGGGAAGCACGCTTTATCTGATGTCAGTCAGAGCACACAACAGCGCAGGCACCGGGCCCTCCAGCGCACCCATCAGCATCACCACCAAGAAGCCACGTAAGTCATATTGTTATAAAAACATGATTTCTAACCAGACAAGGTAAATGAGTAGTTGACATGAAATGCTTTTGGGCAAACTCCATTTAAAACTTTTTTTTTGCAGCATCTTAGTCCTCTGTATTTGTTATGTATGTACATTTTATGATAGACTACATGGAATATTTGCACAAAAAGTGAAAGTAAAAAGGCCAATAATAACAAAACTTACCCAGTATTCAGACTTCCAGGGGCCTCAAAAGCCTCAGGCTATATGACCAAAATTGTCAACGGAAGCTGAATGGCAGGCATCTCACTGCAATTAGTGTACGCAGGGCCCTCAGGCTCCAAATAAACTAAAAGCTATAGCCCCCTTGACCTATTGGCAATGCTTTTTATTTATTTATTTATTTTATTTTTTTGGTATTGGTATTTATTGCAACTCAGATGTGGCCTGAATGCATTTACACTTCAGTTACAATTGTGTAAATAATGCCATGAGATTAATGGGTTTTAAATGTGTAATAAAGGGTTAATTCACCCAAAAATTAACCCTACCTTGTTAAACTCTTAGTGGGGTTTTCTCAACACTATAAGAGATTAAGGTGGCCTTTGTTAAACTACCGTGGCTAAATAGGCACATTATCTGATGCCAATAATTGAGAACAAAACACTGTGTTTAACTGAGCCAGAAACTCATCAGATAAACTATAACATTACTATAGAGGTAGTCTTATGGCTATTTTTAGCTAACAGACTGAGCATACAATTAAGGCCGTTTTAAAATAAAAAGCTTGACAGATCTCTTTCTTTGTGTCGGAGCAGATAGCCGATTGTCCTTTTTCCTTTGTAGGGCAGATTCTCTGACTAAACGTACCGTGATACCACCGTCCACTGTTATGATCTAGTATAGTTATCATAATAGTATGTATTGTAGATTTAGTGGGTTGGGTGTCATTAGTTAAATTGCTTCAAATACATAGCTATTATTTTTTAAAACTATTATTTTTAACAATTTTTTAAAACTATGAATACGTGGTGCACAAAGTCCTAGCCATGAAATTTGATGAGAAAAGAGGTCAGATTTCCCCTGGTTCAGTGCTCAGTTGCGGTTAAACGATGTATAAATTCCTCAATTACTGTGAAAAGTAGAATTGTTTGTGTGGGCACCTGACCAGGCAGTGGCAAACACAAAATTCGTAAAATTGCTCCTAAGCATCCCTACATCACCACTGTTATGATCTAGTATAGTTATCATAATAGTATGTATTGTAGATTTAGTGGGTTGGGTGTCATTAGTTAAATTGCTTCAAATACATAGCTATTATCCTCAATTTTTTAAAACTATGAATACGTGGTGCACAAAGTCCTAGCCATGAAATTTGATGAGAAAAGAGGTCAGATTTCCCCTGGTTCAGTGCTCAGTTGCGGTTAAACGATGTATAAATTCCTCAATTACTGTGAAAAGTAGAATTGTTTGTGTGGGCACCTGACCAGGCAGTGGCAAACACAAAATTCATAAAATTGCTCCTAAGCATCCCTACATCAAGGGCAACTATTTTACTGTTAGGGAGTTATGGAAATAAAGGAAAGAAGGGCATGCTGACATTCAAGCAGCATTAAAATGTCTGGCTTTGTTGTCTTACAATGAAAATGGATGAGGTCTTACAATCTCATCGATGTATGAGAAATAGACAGACATTTAAATTGTTGAGGTGGTCACCATTCAACGTTATTGTCTGGAAAAGACCAGCTTCGACATTCTGTTAAGGGATTTGAAAGGCAAGAGGGTGAATAAATGATCACAGAATTTACGATTTAGGGTAAGATATTCCTTTAATGTTCTGCACAATGTTTCTTTGTTTCATAGCAGTTTTTTTTGCTGTTACATTAAAACGACTCCTAAAGTTCCATTTATAGTCCAGCTAATTTAAAGTGAGAGCCAAGCTGAATTGAATCAGCGCCAGTGAGCTTTGAAAGTCTTAAATTTAGATGATACCTCAGCTGGTGCGCTGCCGATTGTTAAGATTGCAAAGGACAAAATGTATGGGAGATGTTGTTCAGTCATATTACACAAGTTGGAAGTAAATCAGAATATGATTTATGTCTTTTAGCTCCAAGTCAACCCCCAGGGAACATTGAATGGAACCTGACAAACTCAAAAGTCTTTCTGAACTGGGAACATGTGAAGGCGATGGACAATGAATCAGAAGTAACCGGCTATAAGGTAATCAGTTTTTTTTTTTTTTGCTCTCGCTCTTCTGTTGCTTTGCTGATAAACATGCTGTACATAATGTGCCACAAAGCTGGTGTTTCACATAAAACAACTCGGAGATAAATGACTGAGAACATTACCTTTGAAAGCTGCATTATATGCTATGTTTTTTCATTACATTTTTTTAATTTGAAGTGCTTGTGAAGCCTTTCCAGATATGCTCATGCAGCTTCCTTTGAACTTCTTAGTTGAAGTGCAAATCATTTTGCATAGGAACTGGGAACATGTGAAGGCGATGGACAATGAATCAGAAGTAACCGGCTATAAGGTAATCAGTTGTTGTTGTTTTTTGTTCTCGCTCTTCTGTTGCTTTGCTGATAAACATGCTGTATCAATGTGCCACATAAGCTGGTGTTTCACATAAAACAACTCAGAGATAAATGACTGAGAACATTACCTTTGAAAGCTGCATTATATGCTATGTTTTTTCATTACATTTTTTTAATTTGAAGTGCTTGTGAAGCCTTTCCAGATATGCTCATGCAGCTTCCTTTGAACTTCTTAGTTGAAGTGCAAATCATTTTGCCTAGTATTGTATTTAATGCTAGTTTCCCATAAGTGGCAATTGGTTCTATACTGTACTTTTTGACATTTTTCATATCGTTAAATATCATAAAGTCACTTCTTAAAGGGAAAATCCACCTAAAAATTCAAATAAAAGAAGATATTTTGAAGAATGTTGGCAACCGTACAGTTTTGGTTTCCACTGACTTCCAAGAAACACAATAGAAGTCAATGGGAACCAAAACTATATGGTGACCAACATTCTTCTTTTGTGTTCTGCTGAAAAAAATGCATTCAGGTTTGGAACAACATGAGGGTGAGTACATGATGACAGAATTTTCATTTTTGGGTGGTGAACGATCCCTTTAACATATGCAACCTTACTGTAAATTGTTACTGTACATTTTTTTTCCTGTTCGTATGATTGGATGCACATTTAGCTATCCAGTCAGAGTTGCGTTAGAAATGTTAAAATGTCATCTTATGGGATTGGTAAAACAAATCTAAACATATTTCACTGTCAAGATTTGATTTCCCCTTTAATGTAATCTTTAACTTTTTTCAAATTTACTTTCACACTCAAGGTCATACATACAGTTCAGAAACATCCGAGGCTTTTTTACATTTCAGAACAAGCTGCTCCGATCTCCTGCTGCGCTCAAAATCCGAGACATCTGTAGCAAGAGTTCACACAAAATGTTCAGAATGAGGATTAAAAGTTGTCCAATGTGATTCATTTCTTTTGAGCAAATTAATTTGCTGCAGCGTGCTGCCAGCTAATTGACGATGGCCTCTCTGAAATGTAGAGGTTTGTAGGGTCGGCGAACAGCTGGACGGCTCTGATGCTATCCTCCATCTGGAGCTACGAGCTTAGCGAGGCCTCACCAAAGACACTTTCATAAGACAGAAGCACTATTCATTTGCAATCCTAGCCGTCCGCTGTGAGGCGCCTGCAGAATAATACAATCAATAATCATACATTTTCTAGTCTGTATGAGTAAGAAAGAATATCAGTTTGGTGGCTATTTATTTTGCACTGTCAGCCTGAAAAAGAGAAATTTAAATGATATATTGATTGTGAAACCTATTTTTTTCACAGCAAGATATGTCAGTAAACATACTAATAATCCTCCCACTGAAAATCAATTTGAAATTTGAAATGTCTAATGATTATTTAATTTGTATTCCCTCTCTTTCCTTTGTTTTGAAGATTGCAAGAAGATTGTGTGAAACAGACTTTCATACACTTTTTTCTTTTTTTTTTTTTCAGAGCAGCTGTTGGCGATTTGTTTAGGGGAACAATTTTATTATTTTATTAAATGCTTTATTTTTATATGTTTATAGATAGATAGATAGATAGATAGATAGATAAAATATAATATTAAATTCAAAAATATATAAAACTTTTTTGTATTAGAAATGTATAGTTTGTTTAATTTATTGTTTTATAATGAGCTGTTTTATAAATTTACAAACTTGCCCTATTTTTGTGAAATGTTATGCTTAAAACGTGTGCTTCTGCTATTTTTCTTCATAATAAATGTTTTTTTTATATATATTTTATCTAAGCACATTCCAACATTTTTTATTATTATTATTCAGAATTAAGTGTTCAAATATGTTTTGGGGCTGCTGTACATCATTAAATATCCTTGTTGTTGTTGTGACTTATTTATTTTTTGAGTGGTTGTAGCTAATTGGCACAGACTAGCTGCATTTCACTGACCCACTTTCTCCCGCGCAGGTTGTGTATCGTCAAAGCTGGCACAGGGGAAGCAGCGTAGTCGAGACCAACAGGACGTCCGTGGAGCTTCAGTTGCCATCAGAAGAGGACCTGCTCGTTCAGATCAAAGCCCTGAGTGACGGAGGAGACGGCAGCAGCAGCAGCCCTATACGTATTCCAAAGATGTCAAGTAAGGCTTCATGTGAGCTCATTAAGAGCAGTGCACACTGATTTTTGAGCTTGTACTCACAGAATCGAACTACTAACCAGGCAATTGTTTGATATTTGTAATGTAATCCTGTCTGTGATGTCTTTGTGTTCCTCTCCATCACAGGCCTGAACTCAAGGGGATACTTCAGTTCAGACGCAAGCAAGATGGCCCATGTTCACGGAGTAGTGTTTCTGATCTTGTCATGGTTGTTTTCATAGAACTTTGCCTTTATTTAAAGCTGAAGTGTGTCACTTCTGTAACACTAATATCGCCAAATGGAATTTCAAAAACGATTATGGTTTCCCAAACACTGTCTGCTGCAGAGAGAAATCAACCTAAAAAGGACTTACTTTGAATTGCTGAATAGATATGAGGAAATATTTTAACATTTGGAAAAAAAAATACACACATCAGCTTTAATACTTTTTAAAAATCTGATTGGGTGGATATATTTTCCTTTTTTTTAAAGAGGAAAAAATTGGTGACTCCGCTCCATTGCCTTATATTGTGATGTTTTTTTTTTTACACCTCTTTGTCAAACTATTTGTCTTTTGTATGTAGATTTTATGCAAAAAAAGTAGGCTTTTTTTTTTTTTTTGCTTAGGTATTCAGAACTGAGATTCAAATTGAGCACAATATTAAGTCATGTGATGCAGTAGTGACCTGGAATGATCTTTAAAGGGGTCATATGATGTGATTTCAATTTTTCCTTTCTCTTTGGAGTGTTACAAGCTCTTGGTGCATAAAGAAGATCTGTAAAGTTGCAAAGACTAAAGTCTCAAATCCAAAGAGATATTCTTTATAAAAGTTAAGAGTCAGCCACGCCTACCTAAAACGGCTTGTTTTAAGAACGATGAGCTTTGTAAAAATCGACGCGTTTCAGAAAGGTGGGGCATAGAGGAGAAACAATAATGTACAGTATGTGGAAAATAATGTGTTTTTTGAACCTTAAACCGCATAAACATATTTCATTACACCAAATACACAAAATAATGTTCTTTTTAGCAGCATCATATGACCTCTTTAAGAGAAATCCTTGAATTATGAATTATACCCATGCTGTTTTTCCTTTTACACACATCAGTCAAATAAGTGACGCTGTGTTTGTGTATGTAAAAAGGCCTTTAGATAGATGAAATGCATTGTTGTTTTGCATAAGCCTTGAGAGATATCATTGTTTTGAAGAATAGCGACAGTTTGGTTTGATACATAGTTTCTGGATAATTACACAGATTTCTTGCTTGCTAGTTAGTATGATTTATTATTTTGGGCAATTACGAAAGTCGATCATTTGATTTCTTATGAAACGCATTTCTTGTTCCTTTAAATTCAACTCATAATTCATCAGTTCAATTATGATTTCTTCTGTCATTCACATTATGCTATGGGAGACTTCCTGATATCTCTCAAAGATTAATCATCATGTTTGTTCCTGTGAAAATATTTCTTGCAAACATCTGCTGAGTTTGTACGCTTGAAGAGGAGACCAAAGTGTGTCATCAGAACTTAACTTAAACAGATATTCCCTCTGCTGGTTTCATGTTTTCTAAATATCACAATTCATACATCTAAAAAAAATGTTTTATATCCTCTACAGTTTATTCGATTATTTTTTAATCGTTTTTTAATTTATTTTTTTAATGTTTATCTGTTTGTAATTATCATGCATAGTGAAAAACTTTTTTATGTTTTACTTTATTTATTATTGCTTTTTAATTTTTATTTAATTTCTATTATTTTTGCAATATTTATTTTGAAATTTGTTTATTGTATCTGTATACTTAATTTAGTTTCTTTATATTTAAATGTTTTTAACATTTTACTTTTAAATACTAAATCGCATAATAGTATCCACATTTTTGCCTTATTTTGAAATTTTGCATTTTATAAATGTAACATATTTGTCTGGTGTTTTTTATTTTGCTGTTATGTATGCGTTTTGGCCTATTTAATACCTTTGTATTAATCCTGTACAATCTCTGAGAGATAAAATAAATACAATTTCATATTGAAATATTAGTAGAGCAAATATATTATTAGCTACAGTATCAGTAATAGCCTCCACACACTACAGCATTTTTGATCTGGGAGGAGACGTTTCATTCTAATTTGATGAATGGAATAGAGCTTGGCTGATCTATACGGTTGCCTGGAGTCGATTCCTTCAAAGACTTGCATACTGATTAACTGTAGTAATTACAAATAGACTGAGATTAGTCTCTGCTGGATGAGAGTGTAAAGACAGCAGGCATACTTACTGACAGTCATTTAAATTACTATATATATATATATATATATACACACCGTGGATCCAAAATCTGAGCTAGTGAAAAATGCTCCTATTTTGCAATTATCTAATTAAATGCAACGTTATTTTCGGTGCAAATTATAGTATCAAAATAATTTAATTGAAATGTTGAAGTGTGAAATAACATGAATTTATTCTTATTTGCATGCCCCCCATTACTTTAGTGCACTTGAACTAACATATCTCTAGAAGTTTGTGTAAAACCTGTTGATTATCTAATCCACCATCCAAAAAGCATCTTGCGCTTCAATGAAAATTAAAGCAATAGTTCACCCAGAAATGAAAATTTGCTGAAAATTTACTCACCCTCACACCATTCGAGATGTAGATGAGTTGATCAGAAATTTAGCATTTCATCACTTGCTCACCAATGGATCCTCTGAAGTGAATGGGTGCCGTCAGAATGAGAGTCCAAACAGCTGATAAAAACATCACAATAATCCACATGTAATTCATATGATGCCAGTCCATCAACTAACTAACCTCTAGTGAAGTGAAAAGCTGCGTGTTTTTAAGAAACAAGTCCATGATTATGACGTTTTAACTCAAAACCGTCACTTCTGGCCAAAATATGAGTCCATACTCCATAAAACGCTTCCTCCAGTGAAAAAGTCCATTCCCTGTTGTCCTCTCACGTAAAAACCACTGATATATTTGTTTAGAACTTCCTTATAAACAGTGCTTTATATGTGAATTTTTCTCCCCTGATTCAGATGAGATGCCTTTTTCACTGGAGAAAGCAATATTATGAATAGAGGACTATTTTAGTGAGTAAAATTAATTGAGCTTTTTTGGGGGGGGGGCGGGGGATCCCAGAAGTGGTCTTTTGGACTCCACTGTACATTTTGATAAATAAACTGTGCTTAAAGGTGCTGATATTCTAATTACTGTATATTTAATTATGATATTGTAGCCAAAACAGTGTAACCCATGTTTATCAAACCACCATAGAAAACTAGAAGTAGCCAAATGTCTGTATCTTTTTTAGGACTTAAATGTTCACTCAATAAGCAGCATCACATGTTTATTTACCAACATTTGACATTAAGTTATGAAACCGGGCTACAGTTGAGGTGTGAAATGGAGTTTGCTAAAGTAGATTTCACAGTGAAGGTGTTGGAGTTTATTCCAAGAGCTCAGAGGAATAAGCTTGTCAGGAACACTGACAGGTAAGTGTGCGAACACGGATGTAATCTCCCGAGAACTGCTCCGACTTGTTGGGCTACCAGGGGATTTAACCATAAATACTAGTCCAGCTGAAACAGGAGCAGTCGTAGGCAGTCACAGAGGCTTTTGGAAGTCCTCCTTGCATGTCATTTGGTGCCCTTCAATAGTGCCTGTGAGTCCGACCAAATTTCGGTGGGTACTGATATTTCTCGCACTGATCCTCCTAAATTAGTGGCTTCACTGGAGCTGTAAAGACCCATATGGAAGCGAGACATGGGAAGGCTGCTGCCTAATCACTACTTTTGCCAAGCCAATGTGTCTGCATAATCTCACAAAATGGCTGTAATAAACCCTTGCTCACTTTGCAAGGGAGTTTCACCTTATCTGACTGCAGTACGATCCCAGTATGGCATATGTCGGACACTTTGCTGCCTTAAACAAAGGCTTCAGTGCTCTAAAGGAAAGAAATGATTTCAGTTTCCATTTGGATTATGTCTTTGTTTTACTTTGTGAAAAAAAAAAAGATCCCCGATTTTTAATGTGGTCTCATTTGGACCCACCTATAGACAAATTACCGGCACTTCTCAGCCCCTTCTTATCAATCATGGCACTGATAAATAATAACCACCTTTGTTTTTGACAATATTTTCAAGCTAGGCAGAGATGTGCTTATTGAAGTGGGGCAGATTAAACATACTACCCCGCAGCGATGTAATGGATCTTATGCAAAAATGAATGGAGAAAATGTGGGCCAGATTTTTCATAGATAGTCATAGCGGTTTATAAAGGCCCTCGGATATATAAATGGAGAAATAATTGTGAGGAAACCTTTGGCTATTCAAATGAATCATTTCAATGATAGAATAGGGCTGTTATAGTTCACTTGTTAGTGTGCAGCGGCACAGGGGGGGGAAACTGGTAAGATAATGAATGCTTTAGAAGTTCGGGAAAGGTTGAGAAGACGGTCATAGTATTGAAGGGGGGATGAGAGACCTGGCGGCCTATTTTGCTGGTTTCAAGTACAAGCAGGTGAGGGCCATAAAACAAATTTCACCACCAGGGAGACAAGACAGAAGTATATATGAGTCAGTGGGAAAACTTAATTGAGATAAGAGTGCTAATATGCTTTAATTCCAGTGAGGGTCTATTGCATCACTGTTAAAGAAATAGTACAACCAAACATTACATTCTGTAATTTACAATGGAACATATTCAAACACTGTGATTCCATATGAATCATGCCTGGTTGACGTCAGCGATGACAAACACCATCGGTTCTCAAGTTTCTTGTAATCACAATGCATTGCAAAAATGAGAGTTGAGATCTGATTTTTTTTTGTTGTCTGTTCCTCACACAAAGCTGTTGAAAGCTTCAGAAGACTTGGAAAACAGTGTAAATGTCTGACATTTATTTCTTAAATGATAAATTATATAAAAACTGTTCAGAAGTTTTATTTTTGTTCAGCAAGGATGCATTAAATTGATCAAAAGTGACAGTAAAGACTTAAGATTGTTACAAAAAAAATCTATTTTGAATAAATGCTGATGTTTCTTTTCATCACAGAATCCTGAAAAAAAAGTATCATGGTTTACACAAAAAAATAAAGCAGTTTTCAACACTGATAATATTAATGTCTCTTAAGCATCAAATCAGCATATTAGAATGATTTCTGAAGGATCATGTGACTGAAGACTGAAAATTCAGCTTTGCAATCACAGGAATAAATTATATTTTAAATCAGAATAAACACGATGTTATAATAAATGGCATTTTAATTTGCATGGATGAATTGTGTAATAATATATTAAGAAAATAAATAGGGTTGATTTTGATTTCATGCCAACTTCATTGCTGCTTTTTTTGTAATTTAGCAGCATGTGGTTACTACATGATTTTGTTGTATGTAAATGAGCAGTGTTAACATATTGCAAAACATCCCCTTTTGTGGATAATGGAAGACATGGGGATGAGTAAATACTGACTGAAATGTCATTAGTGAATGTCAAAATTAACATAATCATATCATGCACTTATAACCACACCTCTAAGTCATAGCAAAATGATTATTTATCATTAAGGTAACACATCAATAAAAATAAATAAATAAATACATACATACATACATACATACATAAATGAAAATTTAACAAAGGAGGAGAGGTATATCAAAAGAAGTCATCCAACATATATTCCTTTATATTATATTTTTTAATTTCAGAAGTGTCTATATCTTTTCAAAAAGTATTTTGTTATTGCTTTAAATGCTGCAATTCTAAATAAATATAACTCTTTATGAAGCACACAAGATTATATTTTGCTCTATTATCTGAATTACGTCTGTCCATTTTTTATTATTATTTTACTAATGTAAAAAATGTGTGTATAGTGTGCTTTAAATACACAACAGCCTCTTTAACATCTTAAACATGACATTATATTTAAATGATGTTTCTGGTGTTATAAAAAAAAATCTCCTTTTAATTTTTCAAGCATATTCTTGCCAAAATGGTACGCTTTATTTTAATATCAACTAAATCATCTACAATATAAATGCAATAGAACGTCTCGGGTTACTTATGTAACCATGGTTCCCTGAGGGGAACGAGACACTGCATCCTCTAGGGGTCGCTATATTTATCACGTTACCTGTGTGCCTGCAATACTTTGTAAGTGCAATCAGCTCTGTAATGGCATTAATGTATTCACACAGTGGATTACTCACACTCTCCCTTATCAATTAATACACAGATGTAAGTGGCACCTGATCTAAAGAGAGGCTACCATGATTTGCTAATTTGCTGCATTACTTACATGTCATGCGGCAATTTAAAGACGTGTGTGAATGCCAAGGAGAAACCGTCCTTTTCATTGCCCTGTGCCTTAGAATATCTCTTCATTTGTTCAACCACTTCAATCAAACTGATCACAGCCTTATTTGGTATGCAAAACTAATCAGTTAATTTGACAGTTGCACACCAGCAGAATTTGATGGACATGGCAGCATATCAGGTAGAGCTCTCTGTGTTTCATGGAGCTGATGTGGTCACGACGTTTATGCACGTAAATTCACACGAAAGTGACACACGTAAAGGGGGAGGGTTAGAAAATGTG